CTACAGTCTAAGCACTGTACACACTGCCTTTTCAAAGAAAAGGCAGTGTTTTCATTGCTGGCTAGAGACACCTCTACGGGCAGTCATTCAGACAGCTACTAGAGGTGCTTCCTAGTCCAGTGCTGCACAGTGTGCTCTGCATGGAGGCGCTGAGCTTTACCCAATGAAATGCACTGATCCCATGCATTTCTTTGAGTAGATGCTGATTGGCACAGTGCCTCATTTTTCTGTGTATGCGCAATAGCCTCCCATTGCTTTTTTTAATCTAAAATTGATAATCTCAGCCACAGAGACGGGACCTGGTAGGTCCAGCTGTGGCGAGACAGGCATAGGAAAAAAATGTGAGTTTAAATACCCTTTTAATGAAATTGGAGAGGGATCGGGGACATAAATAGTAGGTTTAACATTATAGTGCTAAGAATATATGTGTATATAGTGTTCCTTTAATTAAAGTTCAAAAACCTATAGACTTTAATAGTGACTTCTCAAGATCATTTGTAAAGTTTTTCCAACAGAATTTTATTGAGGCCTCAGTTAGGTCTTACCAAAGTTCTGCGTGCAGAGCATGGTAATATAGTGAAAGGGGTACTATGTTACATATACATCACTGGTGCACTGGTATAACAAGTCTTTTCTTATACTTGTACTGCTACAATATATTCTAATTTTCTTTGGTTTGCATAAATCTTTTAAATAAAAAAAATAATTTAAAAGCAACTGGTCTGAAATCGTTATATACAATATTAAGTACTCTTACCATGATTGATCATCTTGCTTGAAGATTGCATGGGTATCAAGACAGAGTACCTGTCATAGGTTATTTTAAAGCCATCAATGCCATATCAGAGTGTGCCCCATTGCCGATGTTTAATTTACTCTTATGTATGATGTTTAAATTGAGGTCACTTCTGTTTGTCTATACCCGTGTTTTGTCCTTATTTGTAGCTCATGTCTAGATTGAATTATTTAAAGTTACACATTGCCCTGAACATCAAAAACACTGTATTTTCAGTTGGTCAGAAGAGCTTGAAGCGTGCAAATTATGCTCATTTGTAGTCTGACAGTAAGTATGTAATCAGAATAAAAAATGGCCTCTTAAAGCACCATAACTACAGAGTATTGAAGTGCTTGTGATGCTATGAGTCTTTGAGTGAAGTTTTCTGCCAGTGTTGTGCGTCTTTAAAAGTATAATGTGGAAGGGAATATTCTGCTTTAGCATTCTGCATTACCTGAGCTACTGCACCAGGGCTAGGTTTTGGGTATCAGGGAAGTCCCGGTTTTAGTCTTATCAATGTATCAAAGATCTCTAAAATAATTGGAAATGGTTCATTTTATAAGTAGCAAATTCAATATACAGCACTGCAGAGATTTTACATCAGTCAGCTTTGGCATCTCTAGTGTGGCTCTGATCTTCTTGGTCAGGTTACAATACCTATGAGGATTGCATGCATGTCAACATTTACATCAAGGCCACAGTGGACTTTGCCTCTTGAAGAATCTACTGGTACTTTAAAATATTCTCATATTTCCACATAAGTGACATTTCTTCCTTGGCAGTTGCTTTGTCAATGGTCAATTCATAGGATGGTTCATCTTGTGGAGCTTTGCAGTGATGGAACGTTGTATGGTGAAATGTATTTATTTATTTTTTATAAGCATAGGGAGGTTTGTAGAACAATTTGACCCCATTGCAGAATACATTTGTTTGTCAGCTCCATACAGTTTGCAGCAAACATAGGAAAATCAACATATTGCTGTAAAATTATGAGTGATGGCAACAGAGGGAAAATACATTAGGGTGTGTTCAATAGACATTAAGAGCAATGGTCAGTAGACACAAGGGGGAAAAAACTACTGGACTAGTATATGAGTCTATGAGGGGAAAAAAGCACAAGGTGATGGGCAAGGAAAGGAAACTGGTGCTTTGGCATAGATTGAACAGATTGTCTTGGGGAGAAAGATATCGGGAGATGGGCATGGGAATGGAAATCAATGGGAAATCTGGGGATAGGCATCAGGATATGGGCATAAATTTAGAAAAAACCTACACTATATTATAGGTGATGGAGGGTAAAGTCAATGTCGTATTGGCACAGGATGGAAAAGACATATGTAGATGTAACTGAAGCAAAAGACACCATGAGATGGGAAATAGAAGGAACATATACCATGAGATGGACACGGGAGGGAGAGACATGAGTAGTTGGAAACAAACAATCTAACAGCCTAATACACTTAGCTATGTTGACAGACCATCACACCTTTTTGGAGGAGTGTACTGTGCAGAACGAGGTGTGTTTAAACAGGAAACCAAGTTAGCCTCTCCTGTCCCATGTCATGTGTATCTACTACATTTCCTCTTTCATTGTCTCTTAATCTCCTTTCAAGCAGAATCTTCTCTCACTTTTACCCCCAATTCTATTACTTAACACACTCCACACATTCTCCATCGTTAGAGTTCCCAAATTTCTCCTTCGCCCTGTGTTGCTTAATATCCCCACTTCCTATTGTCTCTTCACATAACTTTCTCTGAATTATCCCTTTTTTCCGTTCTATAGTGCAGTGGTTGGCAACCAATGCCATGTGTGCTATGCAAAGCATGCGGGGTGTCTTTGCATGGAATGTGAGGTTCTTGATACATATGGGAAAGATCAAGAGGTCAGAGGATCTCCCCAGCCGACCCACAGTACCTCAGAGCCCTGAACATAAAGGAACTAACACCACAGGGAACTTCCCAGTCACTTCCCAGTGAGTCAGAGTGTTGCCACAATGAAACACACAAATACAGAGTCCGAGCGTGTCACCCAAGAAAATACCAAGAAACTCACAAAACACCCGTGTGGCAACCTCTCTTATCCACACTAAAACAAAATCGAAATATATACATACATAATGGGTGTGGTATCTTGGTCTTGGGTAATAGGTGGTAGTACAGATACAGATATGGATGAAATAACTGTAAAAATACAATAATAAACAAGTACCTAGTGCAATATCGTACAGTATAAAAATGACACAATATAAAATCAATATTGATGACTCACAAGGAGAGAGCCAAAAAGTAATGGCTCAATCTAGGCGCCCATGGGATAATCAGAAGGGATCCCACTCCCTTTAAGTGTAGGTAATCCTCTGTTGTTCTCAAAAAGGAATGTCCACATAAATGGTAGTAGTGGACTAAAAGAATTTTTAATCAAACAAAATTAAAATATAAAATATAAGTAAAATCACAATAAAGTGCAATAGTGATTAAGTCCTCTGTGGGATGCAAGACGCGTTTCGCCCAAGTCCTAGGCTTCCTCAGTTGCTATTATTACCTTCTGCTGATGTTCTTTTATATCCAGTATAATCGGCAGATTCCTCCGTTTTCCGTTGGCGCGATACTTTCACTTCCGGTCGCACGTCCATGACGTACTTCCGGTTCGCGGCTTCTATGTTCAGTCACTATTGGAACGCACATGCGTTCCACTGGTATTCCAATGCATTAACTTCCGGTCGTGTACTTATGACGCATATCGAGTGCGTCACTTTTTCATTTAACTTGTATGCTGGAACGCATATGCTTTCCACTTTCAAAAAAAACTTTATTGTTCATTTTGTCCTTGGGTATTCAGGTTATACACACAGATTACTATAAGCCAGAGAGAACTTTGACATATCATACACAAGTGAAAAAAAATTATAATAATACACTATATAAGAAGGAAATATTGATCCATCAGTATTAAAAAATCTAAATTAAAACAAAACAATATTTAAAAAAAGACAATATTAAAAAAGTTTATGCATAAGCACATAAGCACATTTATATATAAGCACCACATATACACTTACTGCTAAAAATATAGTAAAAAATATAATTAAGTATTAAGAAAGTGGCATATTTCAAAATCTGAATTCAGTCCATTTGGTATCAGAGTATTAAAATTAAAAATAAATTTCATTTCTTCCTTCCCTAACTTTTTTATATAATTGCCCCCTCTCCAGTCTTTTTGAACTATTTTAATTGCACAAAAAAATAAACCTTTAGGGTCTTGATTATGGAAATTTTTAAAGTGCTGAGAGACAGAATGTGTTTCAAGGCCTTTTTTGATATTGCGGACATGTTCTGCAATTCTTATATTTAAGGGCCGTATCGTCCTTCCTATATACAGAAGGTTGCAGGGGCATTTTAGAATATATATAATTCCTTTAGAATGACAGGTAAGGTGATCTCTTATTTTGTATTGTTGTCCTGTTATTTCACCTATATCTATCAAATGTCTTTTTTTACTTTTTGTAACTCTGCATGGCAAGCAGTCTCCACAGCCGTAAAAACCTGTGAGGTTACTAATAAAGTGCTTTGGTTTTACTGTTTCTAAATTACTTTTAACAAGGATATTTTTTAGATTATTCGTACCTCTATATATCATCTTGGGTTTAGGGGGTAAAATATCTCTAAGTATGGGATCATCTCTTAAAATATGCCAATGTTTATTAATTACTTTTTGAATCTTTTTGGTATTTCTATTATATTTACTAATGAATGGAATCTCTTGAAATTTGTTCGAAATATCTTTAGGTTTATACTTCAGAAGTTGGCTTCTGTCTAGGAGTCTTACTTCTTCCATGCTGTTCTTTAGATCCCCTTCATCGTAGCCCTTCTCTATAAATTGTTTCATTATGTGTTCAGCTTGTTTCACATATTCTTCATCTTCTTTACAGTTCCTCCTTATTCTTTTAAATTGTCCCTTTGGGGCATTGGTGAGCCAAGGGGTATGATGACAGCTAGTCCGATCAATGTAGCTGTTCGTGTCTACTGGTTTAAAATAGTTTCTGGTAAAGATCATAGATTCTTGTATATAGATATTTAAATCCAGAAAATTGATGTCTGTACTGCTCACATTGCTAGTCAATTTAATGCCCCAGTCATTGGTGTTAAGGAACTTAAGAAAACGGGTTAATTCACAATTGTTCCCGGTCCAGATGAAAAATATGTCATCTATATATTTGCGATAGGACACCAAGTTCGCCCTCCAGTCATGGTCACCTGAAATAAAATATTGCTCCCAATACGCCATAAATAAGTTGGCATAACTGGGGGCGAACTTGGTGCCCATCGCATTGCCACAAATTTGGAGATAAAATTGTTCTTGGAACCAAAACAAATTATTAGTTAAAATAAGTGAGATTCCTTCCAAAATAAACTCTATTTGCTCTTTCTTAAAATCCGATTTCTCCAAAAAATATTGAACTGCTTCGAGACCTTTTTTGTGGGGGATGATACTATATAATGAGCTAACATCACATGTTACTAGCAGATATCCTTCCTGCCACTCAGTTTGTTCTAATATTTGAAGCATATGTATAGTATCTTTCAGGTAGTATGGAGTGTTCACTACCATAGGTTGCAGCATGACATCTATATACTCTGATACCCGAGTGGATACCGAGTCAATGCCTGATATTATGGGCCTACCCGGTGGATTTTGTTGGTCTTTATGTACCTTCGGTAGATGGTAAAATACTGGTACTTTAGGGTACGTGATCGCTAGATATTTGGCTTCCTTTTCATTAATAATTTCTAAATGTCTTCCTTTCAAAATAAATGCTTCAAATTTTTTCTGTACCTCTCCCATAGGATTAGATGGTAATTTTTGATAAGTCAATGGATCCAAGAGAATCTTTTCTGCTTCCTTAACGTAGTTTTCTCTATCAAAGATAACAATACCCCCCCCTTATCCGCTGGTTTGATAACAATGTTGTTATCCTTTCCCATCTCTTTCACTACTTTTTGTTCCTTTCTAGATAAATTCTGTTGAAAGTTATTTATTTTCTTAATTTTGTTGACTTCTTTCATAACTACAATTTCAAAGGCCTTCATTTGGTCAGAAATCATATGTCGGGGAAAGAAGGTGGATTTTTCTTTAAGACCTGAATGCATATAATTGTCTTCCTGTATGAGGGTCAAAGGTTCATTCTTTCCATGAAAAAAATTTTTTAGGGATAATTTTCTAATAAAATGGTTAAGATCAATAAAAAAATCAAATTGGTTAAAATCTGAAGTGGGTGCAAATTTAAGACCTTTCTTAAGAATTTGTTTCTGTTCTATAGACAGATCCTTTTGTGTCAAATTAAAAATTCCTTCTATATTCGTTTCCTGTTCCGTTTCTCTCTGTAAATTAGATCTTCTTCCTCTTCTTCTTCTTCGTCTTCTTCTATTATTCTTTGTCTCTTCCCAGGAGATTCTTGAGGGAGTGTTTTTTGGGACCACTGTAACCTGTTGGTAGTTGGGTCCTTCCGAAAAAACGAAGAAGATGGTTTATCTACTGAGATTGGATCAGATTTTTGTCGTGTATGTTGTCTCCCAGTGGTGGTTGTTGGTTCTAAAACTTGTGATCTCCTGTTTTCGATAATTTTTTCTCTATCGTTAATAGTGTATTCTCTTGGCCTATCACCCTTAACTACTGAGCTATAACTTCTTTTGTCATTTCTATGCATATAGTCCTTCTGTCTTTGTGTATTTGATTCCCAATGGGTATTTTTGTACTGTGGGATTGGTTTCTCTCTATGGTCCCTCATCCTTTTATTATATTGAGGTATATATATGTCAGGATAAGGGTTCTGTCTTACATTATCCTTCCTATTCCTATAGGGACTTCTTTCTCGTGTTCTTCTACCTTTATTTGGTTTTCTCACGTTACCTGTTTTGTAATCATTGACATCTCTAAGGTATTTACTTTTTTTTAGTGTCTATGACCATGTTTTCTATTCTATCTACTTTTGTTCTAATCTCTTTAACGATGTTGTTAAAAATTTCTGGGCTAGTGTTCTCAATAAGATTCTCTTTCCATTTGTTAATATCTTCGTTTAATTTGGGCAAACTTTCTTCCCTCCTAGCCACAATGTAGCCCATCAGGCTAAATGAAAAACCATCTAACATTTGGTTCCAGCCTGTCATAAAATGTGGATCATCTCTATCTGAGGTTGGATCCTTGGTAAATCTAAGACCTCTTGGTGTGATTTTTTCATCTACATATTTCTTTAAGGTCGCTATTTCCCATTTGGTTTTCATTTCTTTGATTAGCGCCTTCTCTAAATTGTATTTACTTTTGTCTACATTGCTGTAATCTTGTGTTTGGGTACTATCTTTCCCTCCTATAAAACACATATCTATATTGTCAATTCGATAATTCCTATTTTCTAGGAATGCCATTTTAAATTGAAACAGCGCTCGACTCAGTGAGAGGATATAGTCAAAATGAAACACACAAATACAGAGTCCGAGCGTGTCACCCAAGAAAATACCAAGAAACTCACAAAACACCCGTGTGGCAACCTCTCTTATCCACACTAAAACAAAATCGAAATATATACATACATAATGGGTGGGGTATCTTGGTCTTGGGTAATAGGTGGTAGTACAGATACAGATATGGATGAAATAACTGTAAAAATACAATAATAAACAAGTACCTAGTGCAATATCGTACAGTATAAAAATGACACAATATAAAATCAATATTGATGTACCCACAGGTTATGACCAATGACAACATTTCTACTCACTAGTAGAGCGCCAGAGCGGTGTGTGAGCCTGAGGTATCTGCACTCAAAGAAAGTGAATTACGCAAGTTCCACCACAGGACCACCAGGGATGTATGGAGCTGGCACCACAGGACCACCAGGGATTAATGAGGAATCCTTCCCCACTCCCTGGCTAAAGGTAGGCTAAAGGAAGGGGGGCAAAAAATTAGTTTGGATCTAGTTTTTTTGTGTGTAAAGAGCCCCAACAACAAACTTTCCCACACACAACACAGTCTGCCCAAAAATACACAACCCCACAAACAGCCCCCACTCACACAACACCTCAGACAGCTCCCACCACACGCACACTCACACACACAAATAATAATAATAATAACACAACATACAGGCCTTGTACCAAACAATAAAACACACAAACTTAACATAGCAGACAGCGCACACACACATAAGACATCGTACTGTCCAGACATACATAACACAACAGGCACCCCACATACACAGTTCATCAAAAAGTCCACATGCACATGCAACACCAGAGCGTTCCCACAACAAATACTACAAGCAACTCACATACATACACGTATTAGAGACAGCACACAAGCAAAACATATACATCATGCAGCTCACATTCACTTTACACTTTCACACACAAAATACTACAAGCCAACAACATTGCATACACTACACACAGCACCACAGACATCCCACACACATACATAACACACACAATACATACAGCCTGCCAAGGCCTGTGCTAGACTATTTTGTGCCCTAGGCAAGACCAGCTACTTGCTGACATGATTACTGTGTGACCCAACACGCAGAACTATATTAACACAAACATATACTGGACCTTTGAAAAGCCGGACTTAATGTAAAAGAGAATGGTCAAAGAACAAGCCATGACCGTGGAATTAGAATGAGACAATACAAATAACTAGTCAAGGGTCAGGATACCAGAAGAAGAGAAAGTCAAAAACAATAGCCAAAGTCAATAACCAGAAAAATATACCAAGAAAGTGATCTCTGACAGCCAACAAATGGAAACCATGACAGGGCAATGAGAAAAGGCATTACAGGGTTTAAATGTGCATCTCAGTGCTGTGATTTATTAAAACATGGCCTTTGACCCCAAACCGTGCGTGTGTGTCGATAACGTGATGTCACACGCATGCGGGTGCCATCTTTAATGTGGGCAGTGTGACCTTTAACAGTAAGAACAGGACCAAAGCGGCCGGCGGCCCTTAGAACGCTGCACCAGCCGGGACCTGTCTTCTTAGAGGATCGGGTGGCACTACGCCGCGATCCAGGTAAGTTAATGTTTGCCTTTTCGGTGCGACCGGCCTGCTCATGTGTGGCCACGCCGATCAGGGACTTATTTTTATCTGAAGTCGATACAGACCCCCTGCGCCGTAACACTTACACACTTCCCCAAAACACAAATTTCCAACTTTGTGTGTCTCTTTCTCTTACCAGCCCCTTTGTGTGTCTTTTTTCCGTCACAACTCCTTTGTGTGTCTTTTTCCCCTTCTCAAGCTTGTCTGTGTGTCTCTTCACCCTAGCACCTTTGTGGGTCTCTTTCACACCCCCAGACCCTTTGAATGTCTCTCTTTCCTCTTCCCCAGCTCCTCTGCGTATCACTGTAAATTTCCCCGGTCCCTCTGGGTGGTTCTAAGTCACATTTGTGCTCTTTTATGAGGTGTATAAAGATGCTCAGGATATTGGTAAACATTAATTGAACATTTTTATTAATCTTGTGTAAACATACAACAGGAATGCTGTCCTTCAGCAGCAGACAGGAACTGGCAATAATATTTGAAAGTGACATTTATTTTGATTGACAGGTGTTAATGACCAATGATAATGAAGCATGAGTTTCTGACAGGTGATTGTTTTACAACAAATATGAGAATACAACACCCTTCCCCAGGCCGTTTTGTGTGTCTTTCTCTCTTCCCCCTTACCTTCCTGCTCACCTCCCCTGTGTAACGTGGATGTTGATAGCAATGCTTTTCCATAACCTGCAATTTGGGTATTGGAGATCCTCTACCCACGGTCACAAGTGACTGGCAGGAGGGGTAGCACTGTGCTGTGCTGCTGCCTAGTTTGACTAGCATTAGCGCCAGCCATGCGGCTCACACGCAAATTGCCCACAAAACATCAGTTACAACTACACAAACCCAAGTAAAATTCCTCTACGTACATAAATGTTCTACTTTAAGAAATAGGGCCGGCACCTTAAGGGATTTTGGCACAGCACTATCAACAGCTGTAGTGTCTTGATTCCGATTTATACCCACTAGCCAAGAGTCGTATTGCTGAAGCCAAAGTTGCAGGTTATAGCATAACATTGCTAACACCCTCTGTTCTTAGTAAAATATAAAAGGAAGGAGATATGTAGTATGACAACAAAGAAGATTAGCCTGATGTGTCTATAGACTTATGGTCCGGAGGTGTTCTGGGATCAGGGCAGCAACGTTGAAGGAATGATCAGTAGAGAAGCTGAAAGCTATGGGTTTAGGGTTTCGAGTGTACATTTATGTTCAGTCTCATTATTACACTATCATTAAAAGGACTTTGCCACTAAGTGACAGTGTGTCAGTGTGACAGTGTGTCCTCAAACATGTATACACTATGGAATCAATAAACATTATGAGAATGGTGTGTGCAAACTTGAAAAATGCATGCAAACTAGAAGATCCTAAGCAGTTTCCAATGATCAAGAAGTGTCCACGCATTCTGCTTTGGATGAGATGTGACATTATGTAACACATCAGCTTGATAAAGGCCCTAAGGGGTCGAAACATTGCTGTGTAGTTCCTGGTTCTAATAA